ACTTTATGACAATAAATGATTTTGCATATCTGGTTAATCAAGAAGATATCTATCCTCCTTGATACGCGCGCCGTTATTAATTTGCCAAAGACTTGAGGGGACGTTTCGGAGCGACTCTTCAAATTCGCAGCACTGCGAACAAAATGCGATGAATCGCAGTTCATTTGCATAACGTATTTACAATAAATGATTTCGCATATCTGGTTAAAGAAGATATCTATCCTCCTTGATACACGCGCCGTTACTAATTTGCCAAAGACTGAAAGGACGTTTCGGAGCGACTCTTCAAAATCGCATTTCAGTCGCATAACGTTTTGACAGTAAATTGCATTTTGTTTCGCATATCTGTTTAAAAACATGTTGATACCCAATTTGGGTCCAATTAAATAAACGATAAGTAATATAATAAAGAGCGGCCCGATAACCAAGGAGCCGAAAATACATAAATACACAAACGGGTTTTCGAGACTGATTAGCCAGAAGCTGTCGATCGAAGCCGTCAGAAGTCATAATCGGGCCCCCACGATGATTATCTCACATTATATAATTATGTACCATTTTTTATTGGCCCACTTGCAAAATGGGCCATGTATATGTATCAAAAGAGAAGGAGAGAGAAGGGGGATTATTCATTCTCCTCATTCTTCTTCCCAAATCACCGAGAAGAAACTCTCTAAAAAATAAGAAATAAAACACACATTTTCTATCATTTTGTTCTCTAATTTCGTTCAAGAAATTCGACTCTTATTTATAGTTGATCGTCTGATTTTCGACATCAACAGTTTGGCGCTAGAGGAAGGGCTCCATATTTTGCTCGGAGTCAATTTTTGCCGGAAAACAACCGCATCTCCACCGAAAGAGACCGCTCTAAGTTAAGCAAGACATTCATATTTTTCCATTACATCCTCTGCATTGGTAGCTCCGTTCTTTCACGCTTCTACACTCCTCCATCGCTCCAAATTATGTGAAGCCTTGGAGATTTAAATTTTCATTTGGCATATGATCATCTAAAGCTTCTCTTGGATGGACAAAAATCCCACTCAAAATTCCTGATCTAATTTTATTTCTTTGATCTTGTGATTCAATGAATCAAAATCAGAAATCCTTGCATCTCATTTGCTGTAAACGCACGCAGCAATTTCTCTTTTTTTTTTCTTTTTCTTTTTTCTTTTTTACTTTCCTTTTCCCTTCTTTAACAGAATAAAATATTGGAGTAATGCTACTTGGCCACTTGGTGGTACTGTTACTGTCAACAATACTGTTCACGTCACTATCACATTAATGAAATAAAAAAAAGAAAGGAAAAAAGAGTAAGAAAAAGTCAAATACAGAACCAAAAAAACGTCATTTGTGGACAGCTCCTCGTCGGTGCCTAGCCCGACACCCCGCAAACAACAACTGGCCAGCACCAGTCGACGTTGAACCGACGTACTCAACTCCGACTTCTGCCGTCTACAGTCTCCGACCACAAATGCAAGTGTTGATGTAACGCCCCGTTTGAATTAGAATTATTTGATATTATTTACTGGTTTGTTATTGCCATTACTATTGCTTATTTATATTATTATTATTATTATTATTATTATTATTATTATTATTATTATTATTATTATTATTATTAGTGAATATTTATTTGTGATTAAATGTCTAATTGTTTTAAATGCCTATTATTATTATATAAATATATATTGCGTGTATTATAAATATAGATAATCTGGATTAATTTATTTTCGTCGTCAATCGAATCGATCGGGAGTTCTTGTTAGTCCATTTATCCTCGGCCCAATTAAAAATTATTTCTAGCTCATAAGTTTATTGACTGATTTTTGGGCCATTTGAGAAATTAAATTCCCTAAGCCTAAATTCCTTTTAAAATCTTGGCCCATTAAGAATCAAATTTATTCTTCGTCCAATTGAGTTAATTAACAGAAGATCCATTTACTTTTCTTCCCAAGCTGTGACCAAGTCACCAACATCTCCAGTTCAAAAATCTGGTACCGATTCTTCCGTATATGAACCGCACGTTCTCCCTAATATTCTCCCCTATCTCCTTCTCACTTCTTTAAATTTTGACTGAGAATCACTCAGCTCTTTATATTTATCTCTCCCTCGCCATCTGCTGTGTTAAAAAAAAAAAAGATCGCCGCCTGCAATTTATCCGCCACTGAGCCTTTAACCTCCGGCG